TCGTCCAAAATCATGAAAAAATATCACAGTATAGTATGTCGACCAAAATCATGAAAAAAAGTCATAGTATAGTATGTCGTCCAAAATCATAAAGAAACATTATAGTAAGGTATGTCATCCGAATTCATGAAAAAGGTCATTGTATAGTATGTCAACCAAAATCATGAAAAAAAATCATAGTATAGTATGTCGTCCAAAATCATAAAAAAAAGTCACAGTATAGTATGTTGTCCAAAATCATGAAAAAAACATCATAGTATAGTATGTCGTCCAAAATCATGAAATAAAGTCATAGTATAGTATGTCGTCCAAAATCATGAAAAAAAAGTCATAGTGTAGTATGTCGACCAAAATCATGAAACAAAAGTCATAGTATAGCATGTCGTCCAAAATCATGAAAAAACGTTATAATATAGTATGTCGTCCAAAATCATGAAAAAAAAGTCATAGCATAGTGTGTCTTCCAAAATCATTTAAAAAAGTCATAGTATACTATGTCGTCAAAAATCATGAAAAAAGTCATAGTATAGTATGTCGACCAAAATCATGAAAAACAAGTCATAGTATAGTATGTCATCCAAATCATGAAAAAAGTCATTGTATAATATTGTTAAGGCTCTGTATGTGTTCTGTGCTGTTGTTCGTTTTTCCCTCCTTTTTAGATCTGCCCAGGTGTGCTGCGTTACTTAACGAGCTGCAGAACTCCTGTGCAGCAGCAGAAGAGAAAGGCTTTGGTGTGTGGACTGCTGGTCCTACTGTCTCTCATCAAGGGATTATTGTTGTCTTGTTTGCCTGTTTTAATTCTAATAAATCCCATGGATTTGAGTGTTTTAAAGGTGTTCATTTGATTATTATGGGTCAGTGTTGGAGTTTTGTTTGCCCCATAGGGCCACCCAAGGGTGGGGTGTGACAGTATGTCGTCCAAAATCACGAATAAAAAAGTCATAGTATAGTATGTCGTCCAAAATCATGACAATAAGTCATAGTATAGTATGTCGTCCAAAATCACGAATAAAAAAGTCATTGTATAGTATGTCGTCCAAAATCATGAAAATAAGTCATAGTATAGTATGTCGTCCAAAATCATGGAAATAAGTCATAGTATAGTATGTTGTCAAAAACTGCACAAAAAGGTCATACTGTAGGATTTCGACAGAAATCACCAAAAATGCCATAAAAAGTCATAGTATAGTATCCCTTAAAAAGGGTGTAGTATGGTATGCCGTAAAAATGTCTTAACGAGTCATAGTGTAGTATGCCATTAAAAATTCTATAAAAAAAATCAGAGTATAGCATTTTATAAAAACATCATAAAAAGTCATAGTGTAGTATTTTATAAAAAAAAGTCATAATATTGTATGTCATAGAAATGCCATAAAAAGTCATAGTACATCATGTCATAAAATATGTCAGTATTGTCAGCCAAAGAATTGTAAGAAAAAACGTCATAGCATAGTATGTCATACAATGTATCATTGTATAATATGACATAAAAAAACGTCATAGTATAGTATGTGTATGTATGTCTTAACTTCACAGTGTAGGTTGACATATAAATGTCATAAAAACATAATTTTATATGTCATAAAAAAGGGTCCTGGATATTATAACAATAAAAGCATTATGAGTACATCACAGCATAATCAGCCATTACTAATAATAGTAGTCAGCTAATAGACCTTTACCTGCAGATAATTAGATTTCATTAGTGGCATTGTTAGGCCTGAACATCTGAGGCTTCAGCCCTGAATGTTTTATGAATAGCCCCTTATCTAAATAAGCTGTATATGCATACATGCATATATATCTATATATCTATATATATATATATGAAATATAACAATATGCCCAATAATAAAAAAAACAAGCCCCAGATCTAAAAATGTGTCTGATGCGCATGAAAGCCCTCAAATATAATATGATATTGTTGACCAAAATACAGGTGTTTGGTTCTTTGCGTCATTCAAACAGCATATTGTGTGTGATCACAAGAAAGACAGCACACCAGCAATCACTTCAATGAACTTTATTCATGGTTATATTTTGTACTCATAATCTAAGTATAGTAGTGGACTGAAAGGTACAATGTTTCCCTCTGAGATGTACAGATGTAAAAACATAAAGTAGCACTAAATGGACATACTCAAGTACAAGCACATGCAAGCAAATTTAAATGATAGCAGTTGCAAGGTCTGCACTCTGCACCAACTCTCACTTCCTTTAAATCAAGGTTGAAGACCCATCTGTTTGCCACTGCCTCCTATTTAATCAAATATTTATACATTTCTTACACTGCACTTTCATTTCTGTGTATTCATTTTATTCAAACACCTTTATTAATTTTAATTGCACTGCAACTTTTGTTCTTGTCTTACTGTATTTTGTACCTTTTTATTTTTTGTTCTTCATTTATTTAATGAATTGCTTTGAATGTCCTTTTATGATGTGTTTCTTTTGCATTGTGTGGAGATGCTTTTGTTGTTTGTAGAGCACAGTGAATTGCTTGGTGGCCGAAATGTGCTATAAACATATCTGCAGGAAATATTGAGGCTGGAGTCTAGTCACCGAACTCTATGTTCTGCTGTTGAAATAAACATTTGAAACCTGAGTTGTCTGACTGAAATAAACTTGCCTTACCTTGCAAAGTATTCTGTTTCTACTCATTACTAATTACGACATATTTTTAACATCACAATCTTACTATATAATGATGAAAACTCTGTTTGTCTGTGTGTGTGTCTGTTCCACGTTTCTCTCCTCACTGACTTGGTCAATCCATGTGAAATTTGGCACAGTGGTAGAGGGTCATGGAAGGATGCCAATGAAGCAATATTACATCAATTGGCCAAAGGGGGGCGCTATACCAACCGATTGAAATTGCAAAATTTGAATGGGTATATCTCATGCCCCGTATGTCGTAGAGACATGAAACTTTGCACAGAGATGCCTCTCCTCATGAGGAACAAATGTGCCTCAAGAACCCATAACTTCCGGTTATATAGATTTTTCACCATTTTGATTTTTTTGAAAAACACTTAAAATCGAACTCTTCCTAGGAAGTTTGACCGATCTGCATGAAACTCGGTGAACATAATCTAGGGACCAATATCTAAAGTTCCCTCTTGGCAAAAGTTGGAAAACTTACTAAAACTGAGCTTCTATAAGGCAATGAATATTGCGGAGGGCGTGGCTCATCACATAAAGGTGTATAACATCTCAAGGGTTTCACCAATCACCACGCAACTTTGTAGGCATATGACCACACATAATCTGAGGGGATCCCTCCATTATTGACCCAATCAAACAAAAAGAGGAAACAAGAGAGCTAATTTCTTATCTAGGCCTAACCGCCATATCGATTTTTATTAAACTTGGTAGATATGTAGAACAGGACGCCTCAAGGTGACTGGAGAAATTTAACTCTAATTGGCAACTGGGTGGCGCTATAACAACAGAAAAAGGCTTAAAAATGTCTAAAATGTCACCAATTGCTGTGGCTCCCCCTGTGGCTGAATGTTGTTGTTTTTTCTCATTTTTGCTATGACTTAAGCCCTATTCAGACGGGATTAGTTTTGCATAGGGACAAGGGGTAAAGTAATAATTACCAGAGATTTTAGTCCCGTCCGAATGTGCCATGTCAGTAATCATTACCGCACGATGTCAGTAAAGATTACCGCGACTTTTACCTTCTGTAAAAGGGTCCAGGACAATTACCTCAGGTAATACTAATCCCGTGCGAATAGACCAGCAGTAAACATGTGTGTTAGGCCTGTCAAAAAAAAATCGAAGTTAGAAATATATTCAAATATATTTATTTTTTTATAAGTTCAAACCTAAATTTGATCATTCGAATATCATTAATAATTAATTAATACTATCAATAATGTTGTATATCACGGCAAATCCCGTTCGGGCGGAGATGGCTTGCGCACGAGCCGGGCCAGAGAGGGACGCAGCGATGGAGGGAGAGGCGCTAATGGAGGAGCCCGCTGCACCAACACCACCCACTGCGCTGTCCGCGATGTGTGACCTGTTCGGGGAGACATACAGGGAGAGTGTTGTACCTGCTGCTTCCCTGCCTACCCTTTTTGAAGAAGAGATGAAACACTACCAGAATGAGACACCACTATGAGCCAGCCAGGATCCACTCTTGTGGTGGAAAACTACGCACTGAAGTATCCAAACATTGCTCAGATAGCGACACAGAAGCTGATCATACCTGGCACTATAGTGAGGTCAGAACGGGTGTTTTCATCCGAGTGTCACGTTCATATTGCGTCAGCAATAAGCATCTTATTTTTTGTGTGTTTTTTTTTTGTAAAAATAAATAAATAATAATAATAATAATACATTCTAATATTATTCGAACTCTACTAAATTAATTCGAAAATATTCGAACTCAATTTCATGGTGCTTTTGACAGTCCTATCATACGCTCCTGATGGCAGGAGGGCCATGGTAGTTTTACTGATATTTCTTATCCAGAGCAAATCGGCCATTAATATTACTGACGTCCTGTGGTAAAGTGACATTACCCCACGTGCCCATGTAAAACTAATCCCGTCCGAATAGTGCTTAAGTCATGGTATGGTATGCTGTACTCAAAAAAAAATCCCAGGGGAGGATTTCCCTGGACCCCCCTACAGAAGTCTGGGCTAAGCCCCCCATGTCCTCAAATCCTAGGAACGCCCCTGCACTCCTACTTCAGGTGGGTTATTTATGGGGACTGTTTTATATTTGCACTTTCTCGACGCCCAGCGGTGTGACATACAGCAGTGCAGAAAACAACTCCATTATTTCTGACAGCACAGTTTTCCTTGCAGACTCTTGGGTCAGCTCAGTCTCTAACTTGAGTCTCTCCGGCAGCAGGAGCTGTTCCACAGCCTCCCAACTTGCGAATCAATTATGCGTCAGCTCGCTCCTGATTGGCCCGGCAGTGTTATTGTCATGACAAACGCGGCGGGGTGGGGAGAGATGACAAGCACAGAATCCATTGACGAACTGCCGGGAGGACTAGAGGAGGTAAATTCATCTCTTGCTCAAGTGGCTCACTGGTCCTGAGGTGGGAATCTGTTGCTCCTGAGGAAGAATGTACTGCAGGTAGGAGAAAAGAATACACACACAGGTTTGGTTGGTGGCTTTATTAATGACAGGAATGTTAGTAATTTTAGAGATTGCATTACACCGTGCCTGCAGGTTTGGCACCAGATTAGACTTGTGTAAAAATCCGTAAACTGCGTCAACCACCATGCATGCACTGTGAGTTGCTGTGTCATTAGTGAATGCAAAACAGTTGAAGTAAACAAGGTGACTGTTTATTCCTTCTGTGAATCGGTTACAGTGACTTTGAACTGAAGGTTTATTCTCAGTCTTATAGGAAATAGCCACATATTTTCATATTATGTTCATAATCAGGGGACATAAGTACAGATTACCTATTATGTGTGCAGGGTATAGCAAACATACATAAACACATGTCTACATTTTGTCAGAAAGCCACTGTAATCATCAATTTATGGCTTAAGCATGATGACATATTTCCAGGTTTCTTCCCTTGTGTGAAAAATTCCACAAAGGATCACATTTCTGAATGAATGAATGCATATAAACAGGCAAAGTAGATTACAGACAGCAACAGCAGTGGGGATTTGAAACCACAAACCAGTACCAGTGATGTAGGGAACATCAACATAAACACTTTCTGTGGTTGCTGTGTGTTGTTCAGGAGTGTGTGCTGTCACCGTTGGTCATCTGAGGAGAGGCTGGATGGGAAAACGGTCGTCATCACAGGAGCCAACACCGGTATTGGAAAAGAAACAGCTAGGGACCTGGCAAGAAGAGGTACCGCTCAGGCTTGTGTGTCCAGCTGTGTGTGTGTGTGTGTGTGATTCCACCTGCCTCGGTCTATTTCTGGCTCACTCACTGGCATTAATGTGTACCTGCTTCTTTGCAAGTCTTCTTTCATTTTCACCGACTCTCAAATTGTGACTTACACATTCCTCTCTTTCTCCCTAGAATTAAGCACCTCTAATGCTGTGAGTGGTTTAAAGCTATAAAGCGTGATCTTTGACTGCGCTCTCTGTCCTCAGACCACCACCATAGAATCCACTTTAACCCTACTTGTTTTCTTATTGTGTGTTTTTAATGCTCTGTATGTTTTGGTTGCACTGTATCAAGTGATTTTACAGCCTCAGCATGACTTAGCCTCTTTCATATTCCATAAGCAACATAAAAGGCACACAGAAAAAGAGATAAAGGAAATGAGCATCTTGCTTCACACTTCAACAATCTAAGTGAAAGACCAGCAGCAGTGATGGAAGACAGACGAGGCATGCGGGGACAGAGGGAGCATTGTGAGCATCTACTCCCCTCCCGAGCCAGACAGGAAACAAAGAGAGATTGGAGGGTGCACCCAGCAGTGCGCTCGCACACATAGATAAGACACACACAGGCAGAATGGGTAATATGAAAAGTGGTTCTGCATGCGCGATTCAGTTTTTTCATTCATTTGGACTTGAAAGGCTCAGCATGGCATTGACCTGCTCCTTTTAGAACAACCACCATGCATGCACTGTGAGTGCATTTATGTTTTTAATTAAAGGGCAAATGTATGTTAACAGATTTTTGCAGTGGAATAAAATGAAAAGTGACAAAAGAAAGACAGAGAGAAAGGAACATCACTGGCACAGGAACACAACAATACTGCGGTCCTTGCTTCTGGAAAATTCACTGTCAAATTACTGTATCGCCTTTCAGTAAATGGGATTATGTAACGACATGATGACAGCATGATTAGATTCATAACAGAAGGTGGTTCCTTGGGGCACAGTTTTCAGGACGAGCAAAATGAATCTCAGCCTTTTTAATCATTTATAAGTTTCATTATAACATTAATTTACCATGTTGACAAAGTGAAATGTGCATATTATATATACACAGTGTGATCAGGTTTCACTTAAATCATTATCTGCATGCTGACATTACTTATGCATGCATAACTGTGTAATCATATGCTTGATGATCCTTAGCTTGACTCAGTATAACCCTCTGTTCCCACTGTTTGTTTACTATTTTATTGAATCGAGTGAACTTGGCTGCCGAGGGAATGTGGGAACAATTGGGTTTACCCACATGGGAACAGCAGGGAGGGGGGGCAAAGACACTGTGATGGGATACAGACGCTACGCTCCAACTGATTAATGGTTCTTCTCTTTCATAATTGGTGGGCACAGCAGCTATTTTGTATGTGTGTGGGGGGTGCTGGTGGGGAGAGTTGTCTCTGTGTTTGTTAGTTTGTGTGTGTGTGTGTGTGTGTGTGTGTGTGTGTGTGTGTGTGTGGAGGGTGGGTGAGAGAGAGTGTGTGTACGTGTCCTCAAACCCCCTTTTCAGGGCTCATTAAGGAGAATGCATCGTAATTTGCGTCAGAGGCGAGTGATAATGGCACAGTTGAGAGGGGCAGCTGGCTAAATGAGATGCTGAATGGGAGGTTAGAGAACATTAGAGAATGATCAAAAGTAGACTTAGAGATTTGCGTACTTCCTCCTTGAATGACGTCGGTAGCTTTGTGTGCCTGCAAATTGGCAAAGCTTGTTTGAAAACTTTAAAAAAATATATGTCTATCAATCCATCCTGCAGTTTGTATATTTGCGTATTCTTATTCAGGAGCATGAGGGAGCTGGAGCCTCTCCGAGCCAGCACATAAACAAACTTGTACCGAGGAGCAATTTGAAGTTTGGAGTTCATCTGTGTTTTTCAGACGTGGGAGGAAAGTGGTGTGAAATGGGCAGAGCATGACAATATCATCATAAGTTGTGGCCTTTGGCTGTTGCTTTCAGGCGCTCGCATCATCATGGCGTGCAGAGACCTGGAAAGGGCAGAGGAGGCCCGGACGGACATTTTGGAAGACACAGGAAATGAGAATTTGGTCATCAGGAAACTGGATCTCTCTGACACCAAGTCCATCAAAGCATTTGCTGAGCTCATCAACAAAGGTAGGAACCTAACCAATCATATCTTCAGAAATGGCATGGCCTGTGGTTCGATCCCTGGATCCTCCTGCCTACATGTCTTCAAGCAAGACGCTGGCGAGACTCAAAATGTCTTCTGATTGTTAGGCCACTGCCTTGCAGAGTAGCTCTGCCAACACTGATGTGATGTGATGTGATGTAAAAGCACTGTGTAAGTGTAATCCAAGAACCAAACATCAACTGGATTTATGCCGTTTATTTAAAGGTTCACTGTGTCAGATATATTGGCACAAATGGAAGATAATATATTGAGTAAAACTTAGTAACTGTTGCTTAGCAAAAATGGGAAATACGATCAAATTGTTTATTTGAACTAGTATGAATATTAATTGTGAAATTGTGTGGCTTCAGATGATATATCAATTACGAATCATTCATTTGATCTAGCTCCGACAGACAGAGCATCAGAGAGAGAGTTACAGCACCTGGCATACCGACACAACACCACTTTATCCTGTTAAAACAAAACTTATAACTTGGATTAATTTATTATAAAAACCCCTTTTAATTATTTTGATCTGAGGACCCTTAAAGGAATATGAATAACTTACAGGGTAATCTAGGAATGAACACCTAATTTGGAGTAGCCAACAACCTGGTTTTATACATTCGAAGGCTGTATATAAAGAAAATGAACTGCTTGGCACCATGACCAGGCCTCTAATTGAGACAGATGTTATTTGTCAAAATACAAAGACTTTTAATTTGGACCGGGCTTTTAATTGAAGTTTTATGGTATGTTTTCTTTAGTGTATAATCACCTGAAAATAAGAACCATCGTGTTTTTGTTGCTTAAAACAAGCCATTTATCTACACAGGGAGCAGGTCATCACCAACAGAGTCTGCCATGTTCTATTGTCATGTTTCTACAGCAACCCAGAATGGACAAACCAAACTCTGGCTGCAGATTGTGCCATTTGTTTCACATTTTTCATGTTGGCCCTTCACCATGAGCTAAACAGGGTTGGAAAAACACAGATTTTTCCTGTGAAACTGCTTCATTCAGTGTTTTTACCTGTTTAAATCACTGGGTCTGTTTGTTCTGAGAGAGGAAGAGACCTCTGCTGATAATCCAGCTCCCAGAAAAAAACCTCCTGAACATTTGGATCTTAAATTATTAGAGAAAGAAGGTGAGCACACATGAGCAGGTGTTGGTTAGTGTCTCATCTGCAATTAGCCAAACAGTGTCATAGAAAGTTTTGACACTTTGCAATGTGATGCTGCTTTATTCAGTGTTTTCACCCCCTTTAATCCCGTTTTTTTGGAGAAGACACCTCTGCTGATAATTTGGCTCCAGATAAGAACCTCCTGAACAATGAACGCTGAAGGAATCCTAACCAGGAGTTTGCACTTTGCGTATGGAGGAAGGTTGCAGTCTGCAATCCTCACTGCTAGATGCCATTAAATCCTGCGCACTGCTCCTTTAACATATGATACTTGTGAGAAATAACTGCAAACGCTACCTAATGTTTTTTGTTTGTGTGGCTCGATCTTTCCAGAGGAGAAACAAGTGAATATCCTGATAAACAATGCAGGCATCATGATGTGTCCCTACTCCAAGACTGCTGACGGGTTCGAAATGCAGTTAGGCGTGAATCACTTGGGTAAGGCATACTGGAAATTTTAGTTTCCTCAGATTTCATGTTGATGTACATTTTTTGAGAGAATCTGTTAATCAGCCGTAAAATGTAATGAGTTGGTTTAATTGGCTGTGATGTTCATCAGCCAGATAATGTAACATAAACAGTTGGCAGTCATGTCTTTGACTGATTTTATAATACACACATAGTGACAGGAGGGACTTTTTTAATCCTTATTAGGCTGTGCTAACAAGCTTTACAACACCTGCAAAACCAAGCTGGCCGACATGTCAGCCAGGAAAATGAACCAGAGTTCAAGCTGTCAGTGTTTTCCCCCGAATTGGACCATGGCTTCCTTCCAAAAAATCTTTTCCTCTGTGGTATTTTTGTCACAGGCTGACAGAGAGTGGAACAGGCTGTGCTCGACCATGGTCACCCACACACATATGCGAACAAATGCACACACATGCATAAATATACCTGCACATTTACAAACATCCTTTACACGCACGCATTTACTTTCAATAATTATAAACCCTGGGTAGGTAAGGAGTAAAACAGGAAATAGAGAACAATAGTAAGAAAGCAGAAACACTCCAACCAGATCTTTAAATGTCCCTCACATGTAAACATTAAGGGCAATGACATTGTGTGTGCGCACAATGGACAGAAAGTATGCACACAGGAAGTTGTTGAACATATAAAACATTGCAATGCAACACATAAAGATTTCCATTCATACAGCTCATAATGACGTTGAACAAATAAGTGGTTCCCAACCTTTTGTCTTAATGGACCCTCTTCTGTCACTGAGGAAACGGACGACCCCTGACTACGTGGCAGATTTCAGTGCATAACAATAACACTACAGAACAAATCAAAGTTTATCTTTGATATGTTTTACTAATACTTGAAATATGACATAAGGCCACAACAACATAACCCCTTCCCCAGCTTGTTACCTGCTCCATGGGAGAGATGGGCGAGTTATCCGACGTCGCCTGAACACTGAAACGAGCATTATTGCTTTGTCAGAACGTCAAAAGCTCTCTGGTGCCCTCTCAACTGCTACGACACTGCTGAGAGGAGTGTATGTGCAGAGAAAGAACATGAAATCAGCAGGAGGAGAGCTAATTACAGTTACCTCTGAGCAGCAGGTGGCCACAAGGAACAGCTCACTGGGGTTGCATTCAAAGTTCTCATGAGGTGTTCAATGTAATCACGTAAAAGGTAGCTTTTGGTGAGAAACTTGTATAAATTCAGCTGTTTGAAGGGGAAATTTGTTGATTTGTTGAAAGTTTTCACAAAATCAAGAAGGCCTTGCGACCCCTCTGTGAAGCTTTGGCGATCCCTAACAGGGGTTCGAACCCCCGAGCTGAGTGCCAGTGGAATAAATGAGAAATGTTCAAACTAGTCGGCAAAGACGCTGAGCCCTTTCACTTATTGCACATGCAGAGCATCAAGATATGTTCTTTAGGTCAGGGTAGCTAAGTTTAGTCATAAGGTGGAGTGGAAGCGGGGGTTGTGTCCTTCTCATCAACGACAGAGTGAGAATGAAAAAACTCCATGTGACTCCACCATCACATGGAATCACAAGAACATGACATACTAACGCTGCAGCAATACTGTGCTACCATGATGTATGCTATTAATCTTATGGACGGGAGTCAAGGCAAGTGAGTGAAAGAAAGAGAGACTTATAAAGAGAGACAAAGACCACCACAGAGGAAGAAACAGAAGGAGACAGAGACATGTGGCTCTTCATGTGATGCATGATAGCAACATTACTGTGAAAATGAAAATCACTTCAGTGAGGTAAAGATAAAAGATACACCGACAGTATCAGGATTTTACAGTAGATAGCATCTTGCTGGCACAGTCAGTGGTGACGTACAATTCTCTTACCTCTACAGCAGCTCCAACTTTCTCTTTGAAGTTATTTTAGATAAAAAAAAAAAACTAGGTCATGCAGGGTGTTTAAATGAGTTACTTTTCCAAATCTTTGTGTTTTTGTGACAGTGTGACACCATTAGATGTGAGAGGGTAACATGACAAAAGTATGCACTTGGCTATGAAAGTAAATCCAGCACAGTGTTGTGTAGTGACGTCTGTTTCTTAAGCCTAAAAGTGTGTCTCATGACTTCCCTCAGGTCACTTCCTGCTGACTTACCTGCTGCTGGACCTCATCAAGCGTTCAGCTCCTGCCCGTATTGTCGTCGTGGCATCGGTGGCCCACACCTGGACCGGGATTCGACTGGATGACATCAACAGTGAGAGGAGTTACGATACCATGAAGGCCTATGGGCAGAGCAAGCTGGCTAACGTCCTCTTTGCACGCTCCCTTGCCAAACGGTTACAAGGTGAGGTGAGACTGCGCGTGCATAGGAACACGTAATAAGGGATGGAAGACAGAAAAATAACTCAGTTACAGATTTGGGGCTTAGGAAAGGAAAGGCCTGGGTTTAGGGGCTTTGGAGAGGAAGAGACATTGCAGCTGTTGCTAAGAAAGGTGAATCAGAAAAGCAGCGTTCCATTTATTTTTATGTAAGAAGAGATTGACGTAAGCATGTCCAGCATGTTCACCATTACTAGAGCACTGCGTAGCTTGCATAAGCGTTCTTCTAATTCTACTTCATTTTTCTTAAGGGCAGCAATTACATATGAATCAGACTTTCACTTGAAACGAGCCATTTTGTTGTCTCAGTCATTGTTCTGTCTTTTGCTTAATGGCCAAGAACTGAAAGAAATGACTTCAGTATGACAGTCCCACAGTCTAATGGTTGATTCCCTGGATCTGGAGTAGCTATCAAAACTCAGTCCATTAGGATTATAACTGAAAAACAAGCAGAGAATAAGACATTAAAGAGAGAGAGAATGGAAACAAAAAGCAAATGCTAGGGCTAATATTCTGTTTTAATTTCCATATCACTTATTCACTGATGCAGCTGCTGTTTGACAAAGAAGCATATCTCACACAGACATGATCACAGCAGAGTGTGCAAATCTTCATAATATGGACACGCTTGTTTGCATGTGTTATCATGAATATACAGTATGTGTGGAGACTGTTTCACTTGAATTGCATTGCTAGGCAACAGCTTGGGTTCATGTTGACTTTCAGCAGCCCTCTGGTTCCCAACCCAGGTCCCTATGGACTGAGCTACTGCCGCCCCCAATCATGGTTCTGTCCAGCAGAGGCTGAGATGCAGCTGTTAGACAGAGCAATGACCTGTTTAGAGACCAATAACAAGGAAAATGAACATGCATATTTAGATAAAAAATGTCAGTAAGAGTCAGGTAATGTGTGTGTTTCAATCTGCTGAAAGGATTTTTCAGTCAAAGTTGACACAACAAAGATATGATGGGTTACAGTGTGATGGGTTGTATCCGCTGTATGTTAGTATATAGCTTCAGTTTAAGTGTAAGTGTATAGGAAGTGTAAAATTTCACTCTGCTGGGCATAATATACTGTAGTCTTAAGATTATTTTTGAATTACCAGTAGAGGGAAGGTTTGTTACCATGGTTACATGTCTCTAACCTGCAAAGAGGCACTCAGGAATTGACTTGGCAGCTCAGTGTATCCAAAAAGATACAGACTACTGTTTATTCACACAAAAGTTTGTTGACCTAGGGGTGGGTGATATGGCCCTGAAGTAATACCACAATATTTCAGGGTTTTTTTGTGAAAACAAAATTCTTGACAACATGACAAATTAATAAAACAGTTTGCCTTCAAATATTCAGTAAAATAAAACTAAAATGATCTCTCATTTCTTTAGTTTGTAAACAACAACAGTAACTCAGGATAAGATTCAGATTCTGTTTACAATATTAATAGTTCAACAAAATAAAATCTACCACAAATCACACATTTAAACAGCTCCCAAATACAAAAAATGTCCCCTGGGATCTATATATATGAATAAACAGGTGATTTCCATTTCTCCTCTAATCATCACGCTGTAACCTGTGACAGGCTGTTATGATACCACAACTATCACACATTCACATATATGTAGTTTTTTGTTGAGCCGCAAGCATCACATAGGTTTACATTACCAAAGGTTTATGACAAAATCACTTTAAGACACCGACTTCCATGTGCACACGGCAAGAGAGGAAAGAAAGAGACACTGTGCTGCTGCCGGAGGAGCCACTGAATGAGTTCCCTCTGAGAGGTAACTTGCTGTAAGAGACTGAAAAGTCCGGGGCTGTTCATAAAACATTCAGGACGCCACAGTAGGGCTGTGCAATATGATGATATATATTGTGTGACGAGAGAAAAATGTCTATCGTTTCATATTTTGCTCTATCGTTTATATCGTTGTGACGCAAATTACACTTTTTACGGCAATATTTTTCGTCATTTGGATGTTTGATTGATCTGATTCACCAGCTTTCTCGCTACCAGCGCTCCCTCTCTTCACTCACTCTCTAGCTTGCTCGACCTCAGCTGCTCACTCTCTCTCTCTCTTTTCTCTCATCTTCTTTAAAGTCAAAAAAACTGGCTCATGCACACCTTTGAAGAGTCTCCTGAACAGGTGCATAGGAAAAAACTTCAGCAGGTCAAGAAAGAAAAAAGATTCCCGCACACTGTTGCCAAACATTTAAATATTTAATGGGACAAGGCAGCTACGTTTCGGTCATTACAACCTTCATCAGGCAGAGTTGGCAACTCTGCACGGGAATCTTTTTTCTTTCTTGACTCTCTCGTCTTCTTTAAAATTAGTCAGTTGCCTGAATCATCGTAATGTTAACAAGCGCAGAGAAATGTCCTCCCCTCGTCCTAGTAACGTTTTTGTACTCCCTCATGGCAGAGTTTAAAGCTCTGATCAGTCTGATCTCTGTCACACCTCTGAATCCGGGAATTCCTGCATGCTACGTAAAGGCGGGGATGGGGATTAAAATGTGCTATATTGGGATAGGTATTGTTATTGGGATATGAAATGACCTGTATCGGGATGTGAGATTTTGGTCATATCGCCCAGCCCTACACCACAGTTTATTCCACACTACTGAAGCTGCTCCTCTTTCTGGAACCACCGCGGAGTCTGTAATAATTTCTTGCTGTTGCCATGGGTAGCAATATGACGTCAGTATGTCAGCAAGTCAAAATATCGCAAGTATCACGATGTAGTGCATAGAATGTTTTAATGCATGCAAAATAATCCAACAAGAAATACAAATGGACCCATTGAGACTGTTTATGTTGTCAAGTTTGAAACAGTCCATAGGTGACTGTCTATGTGTTGCAGGTACAGGTGTAAGCGTGTTCTCCCTGCACCCGGGGGTGGTGCAGTCTGACCTGTGGCGGCACCAGCACCAGTGCATCCAGGTGGCGGTGAAGATCTTCCGGATTTTCACCAAGACGACACTGGAGGGAGCACAGACCACCATCTACTGTGCTGTGGAGCCAGGCCTGGACAGCCAGAGCGGAGGGTACTTCAGGTACACACACAGTGTTTCAGCCAACCTGCAATTGGTTATACAAGAGCATTCAGAGTGGAGACTTCATGCTGCTCAGTGTTACTACCTGCTGACTAACAAAAGGGTACTCTGTTTGTAGCTGACGGTTAACACTTTTATTGTCATACAACAATGACACAAATTCAGCACACATTATGTAATGGTTATCCCTGTCTGTGTGTATGCTCAGTGACTGCGCTCCTGCAAGGTGCTCGAGGACGGCGTCTGATGACGACTTGGCCCAAAAGCTGTGGGAGATCAGCTGCAACATGCTCGGCATCACCTGGCAGTGAGCATGTGGCAACGTGACAGTGTATGCTTTGTATCATCTTTTAAAAACAGCACTTTTACGCACTTTTATAGAGGCATCAATGTTACTGTTACTGTTGTGAAACAGGTGTGTTTAATGACTCAAAGTACAGTACGGTCTTAAAGTCACTAGATCACCACTAAGAGCTCCTTTATTTTGTAACATATAAAAATGATTCTGACATTTCAGTCAAAATTGGATTTATCAAACAAAATTGTATCATGAAATTGTCTTTTTATTGTACTTTTCCTAGCACTAGTTTTATCCTGAGTGCAGATGCTTTTCTGTCTTGTTAGTTTGTAAAGGTCTTAGCCAGCCTGGGCTTGCTTTGGATGAAAAGTCTCTCTTACCTGTACATGCCCCTTATAAACTCTCAGCTCCAGTGTGGCTGTGGGACAGTTTTCAGCACTGATGAGAAGAGTTTGGCTCGAAACTGCCTCCAATTGTACATCAGTGCGCACGTACAGTATTGTGATTGATAGTTAAAGCACTCATGACTGTTAGTGTAATATGAAGTGGGTCCTGTTCTGCTTTTGTAGCACTTAAAGTATTAGAATGTACTTTTATTATTAAAATACAATGAGGCATTGGTATAAAATGATTCTGTTTTCATTTAAGTGTTTTATTCAGCAGTCTTGTATCATGCAATCTGCCTTTTCAGACGCCTTCCTGTTAGCTGAGGGAGGAAAAATGTAAACTTCCGTTAATGTGACAATCTGTACATAATGTGTAAATAAACCTGTTAGACTGGAGAACGTGTTTCAAAGTTCTCCTTGTTTGTGACTTTTATGTCAAAGTTACTGTATTTTGTTCATGCTAACATTTCCCAAGCTGTTGGGTTGACCTTTTCAGATGCAGCAACGTGTGTTCATTTAAAAGTTAAAAGAGATTAGGTAAGTTCAGTGTATTAGTAATGAGAGAATTAAGGGGTCTTAAAGTCTTAGTAATACCACCCAAACAGATGACTGAATTTAGCTATGACTCACTCCAGGGTCAAGGCATTAAAATGACTAAAAGTAAAGCTGGAGTTGTGCTGCCTTAATCAAAGCACTGTTTAGTATTATTCATTATTTTTCTAATTGATTAGGGCCGTAATAATTTATGGCAAACAGCACACATACTTGTCTTGTGCTGGACTGTAAGTGTGGAACTCGTTACACAGTAGAGTCATTATAGTGCGGAGCAAAGATCAAGAGAAAATGCCAGAATTCTATTTAGAAACGCTATCCTAATCTAAATCACATGATGGAGAATTTAAGACTAAAGGAATGTGGCATGAGCAGTGAGGGGTGGTTACAGGCAGTCTGGGACCAGCGCTCCCTCCAAGCAATGACTGTATTGTGATTTAGACGTATAATCGCACTCACAAAACATCAATCTCCTATCAGTCAACTGTCCTGTTTCCAGAAATGTATTCTGTATTGAAAACCATTTCCTAACTTTATTCTAATAAAGTGATGGTAAAATATTCCTACTTACTTCACAACATTGAATTACATTGTTTGTTTGTTAGATACAGAGTTTTAATAGATACAAAAATTAATTCTTTAATTTTCTAAAGTGACATCACCTGTATCAGTACTGATCCCACAGCTGCTATGCTGTGACACAAACTTGGAGTATTACTGTGTTTCTTATATGTGTGAACAAGAAGAGGAAAGATAAGGGGACGGTCGCAACACTTTTTGCATTTCTTTCAGTTACTAAGAGACTATTTGAGCTACACCAACCAAATTATATGTATTAAACTTACATCTGCCTGCTCATTACCCATACAATTTAAACATTATCAAATATATAATATAGTAGCTCAGTCCATACAGACTTGTGTTGGGAAGCAGAGGGTCACTGGTTCAAGTCCCCATTTGGACCAAATATGGAGTGTGGACTGGTGGCTGAAGAGGAGCCAGCTCACCTCCTTAGGGGTACTGCTGAATGCATGTATAGGTCCTGTTTGTAAATGTGTGTGTATTTTGGGCCTGTGTGTATGACAATAGAGTGAAACACTTGAAATTCCCCTCAGGAATTAATAAAGTATATCTTCTTTAATCACAATATTTAAATGGAAGAGGTCAGGTGGTTGCAACATGTTGAAAACTTTTGCTTTTTATTTAAGCATAATGTGTATAAAATATGTAATGTTGTACAATGACACAATTATTACTTATTTACACAATAATATCATAGTATTTAGTAATTTAGTATTTTTTTGATCATATAACAGTTATAAGTAACCTTATTCCTTACTAACTAACTCTCTTTCTTGCTCTCTTACTGAGCGTGTGCAGTATGAGTGTCATCACTCTAGCATGTTTCTGATTGGAGGAACATGAGCTGTTGCAACCATCCCATGTTGCAACCATACCCAGTCTCCCCTACACAGTGAAAGGCACAATAAATAGGATAGTGCAAGTAGCTTTTTACTTTCAATATGAAATACAATAATATGTGTGGAAAGAAAAAAAGGAGGTAAACATGTATATTTATAGTAATTTTAGCCTGTAATTGTTAAAGTCTCAAAAATAATTCAGGTCTGGGGTGTTTTTCTATTTTGCAGTCTAATTAAAATAGTTGGAATATCATTGGAAAGTGAGTGAAATGGGGTTAAAGGGGTAGTTTGGATTTTTTGAGATTTGGCACGCCCCCAGTCTGGAGAAGCAGGCTGGAGTCTGACACGAAGGCTAAGCAATTCACTGTCTTGGATGGGGGTCAGCAACATAACATATTTTAGCCACTAAAAAAAATCAATATCATTTTAAGTGTACACTATAATTAGAGTAATTCAACTGCTTTACCTTGTCATCAGACAGCCCTTTTCGACAGGGAAAGTTGTTATCAGCTTCAGTTCCTCATCTATGCTTGTGTCAAAGACACCAGACTCCACTGACAAAACCAATAATTTTAGCTTGCTGAACCCTGGAGCTGCTGGTCTGCTGCTGCTTTAGTAGTTAGTAGTTTGTGTTATTGTGTGATTTTGGTAAATCCCAACTAACCCTTTTAAATGCCAAAGTCACACAATAACACCAGCAAACAACCTGATGGAGGCAGCAGTAGACCAGCAGCTCCTGTACACAACAATGTTAAATCACAGTTTTTCTCAATGTAGTCTGGCTTTGAAGAGTGTGCTTCATTTTGCTGTTAGATATCACTGCCTGACATTACAGGAAAGGCAATGAAATTACTCTCAATAGGGCATATACTTTAAATAATACTGATTTTTAAGATGGGACCTTTAGGCAATTAACATGCATTTTGTGACCAACCCCTCCAGAGCAGTAGATTGCTTATAGCTTACATGACAGACTCTGCTTCTCCAAACTGGTCATTTGTCGAGTGACATCTACTGTTTGAGATAAACTGATCCCTTTAACCCATGCTGTAATCAGCTGCCTGTAAGAAATCCTCCTGGCCTGTAGGTGGCGGTGTGGACAGTAATTCAAGGGCAAAGAAAAAAAGGAGGAAGATTCTGCGCATGCGCGTGTAAAGTATACGTCAGCTCTTCTCTAACCAAGCTGCCTGAAAGCTACGTGGCCCTCATTCTTCTGACTGTCTTCTCCTCTAACACGACCTCAGACACAGGTAAGATGACCGCTGTATTATTGAAAATTATTTCATTTTTTGTTACATAAAGCCACCACAGTAACTGGTGTGAGAAGTTTTGTCTTTTATTGGTTTTATTTATTGAATTTCCAGCTAAACTAACGTTACGTCGACGTGATAGCTTTACTTACGATAACGTTAGCTAGCAAGGAACTAACACAACTCACTTTAAAACGTGTTTTTCGACAATAACGACACATATATCTTTTTTATCTCTTAACATACGTGTTAATATTTGACGGAAGAATATAACATTTATAGTGTATTAACATTTATAACGTTATGGGAGTCGTGAAAGGTTCAGGCTGCTGAAGTCAACGTCAGCACTGAAAGCAATCAGAGCGTTAGCATTAATGTTGTGTTATCCTCTCTGCAGCTCTAACACCATGGATCAGGTAATGCAGTTTGTCGAGCCCAGCCGGCAGTTTGTCAAAGACTCCATCAGGCTCGTAAAGAGATGCACAAAACCCGACAGAAAAGGTAGGTTCATACTTACATCTGGCACAGTGTCTGTTGTGTTGGCAGCAGAGTCAGACCTTCAATCCAGCTACCCAGTATAACCCAGAGCTGCTCGGCCAACACATTCTGGACCTAAAGAGCAATATTATATCACAGTATTACAGTAATTTTCTTAAATAAGGTCATTTGACTTTTGTTATATATGTTAAGATCGATTATTTTGTCTCTTCCAGAATTTCAGAAGATTGCCATGGCCACAGCGATTGGGTTTGCCATCATGGGTTTCATCGGTTTCTTTGTTAAACTCATTCATATCCCCATCAACAACATCATTGTGTAAGTAGCACTATCACACAACAATTAAGTTAATTATATCATACAGGTATTTTTACTGTAAATGGGTTAAGGAAATGTGTTAATATTGTTAATGACATCATTTAAGAGGAACACTGAACAGCTGATCCCAAAGAAAGGGGTTTGTCTTGATTAGATTTTGTTTGTATCCCTGCTGTCCAAGGAAGTGCCCTCTAAACATTTTATCACAGTGTCTCAGTTATCTCTGTGACACTCTCAATTTAAATATAACATGCTTTGTGTTTTTGAAGTACTTGTAGTCTAATACTGATTTGAAAATAAAACTTTAAATCATTTAAATGCCACTTATTTACCAGAGCTGTAAGAGGATCATGTCATTTAGTGAGATGATCCCAAAACGTTAGCATTTATTCAGCCTTGAATTGTGTATATTATAATACCCCAGCACTAATGTTTAACATCAATTTCAGTTGTATTTATAAAGCCTGATATCACAAATCAGTTTGCCTCAGAGGGCTTTATAGCATACGACATCCATCTGTCCTTAGGACTCTCACACTGGATAAGGAAATACTCCCCCCCCCCCCACCCAAAAAAAACCTTTAATGTGGGAAAAACAGTAGAAACCTCAGGAAGAGCAATTGAAGAGGGATCCCTCTTCCAGGACAGACAGATGTGCGATAGATGTCATACAGAACAGATCAGCATGATAAATGTACAGAGATCCATATGACAAATGATATATTAAGAGAGAGACAGAGACAAAATTGATATATGACAGCATATGTATGTGACAATAATAATCATATGTGTATAATAACAGTAGAAGTATGACTAATAATAACAGCAGTCAGGTAGGACCACAGCAGCAGCACAACCACGACCCGTTATTTGAGGGAACCTGCGAGACCGTGGAGCACAAAGGCTCTGGAGAAATTTTACAGAACAAACTACAGTTAATTTTAGTTATGTTATAGTTGTCACCAAATGTCACATGATTTCAACAAGTGTCTTACTGTCCAATTTCTAGCATAAATGACAAGAAAGCACAGTAACTTCATAAAGACCAAATTCTATTCATCTCTATCTCATCTCTAGATTAGCATTAACTCATTTAAAGAACAAAAGTTATTTACCACATTACTTAATAGGCAATGATACTGTAATTTCTCTTTGGTTATACGTTACACAGTTAAAGGACCAGTGTGTAGGGTGTATGGTGATCTATCAGTAGAAGTGTAATATAATATTCAGAAAAAAAAATTTCATTAGTTTATAATCACTTGAAACTAAGAATCGTTTTGTTGTTGTTAGCAGGTCTCCTTGCATGTCCATGTTTCTACAGTAGCCCAGAACAAACAAACCGAACACACTATCGAGAGGGCTTTTCGTGTTTTTATGTCACCCAAAGGCCACCACAGGTTCCTCTATACACTTGTAAAGACAGGGTTGAAGGGAGGGGTATTCAATTAGTTTAAGTCCTCACTGCTAGATGCCACTAAATTCCCACACACTGGTCCTTTAAGTACTGTAACTACGTTAAAGATGAAGGAGGAAAAAAGTCCATCACACCAATAGCATTAATTGTTTTATTTTTGTGCACAGTAGGATGTAACATTCAAATACCATTCGTTTAGGTTGGCATCCTAAGGGTCAGAATATACAGTATCCTAAAGTGCAGAGGTTGAGTTGTCTGTTTTTGGAGGAAAATGTGGCACAATTCTATATCTATGTGGTGCATTGTATTTTGGAGAGTGTCTTTCTTAAGCAGTGATGACTTGCTTTGCTTGGTCATAGAAGTAAAAAAATGTTTATATACCATTTTGCTTTCTCCGATCACTAACACTGCCTCTCTTGTTTTTCCATCCAGTGGTGGTTAAATCCTAGTCAAGAACAAACGACTTCAATACCCGGGGACAGGACACGGCAGCAATATTGGATTGGTGTGATTGGGGGCTGAAGGGATGACATTTTTACATTCTGTGCACGACATTTATATTTCAATGTGTAAATAAAACAAATGGAAACCCACAGACTGATTTCTCTTGTCTATTCAGGTAGCCATGCTGCAACTACAGCTTGTAATGTATACAACTTTTCTGACTTTCAGAAACACAGTACTGCTGTCATCAAAAGGCACGTAGAATTTGCAACTTTCCATAGTACTTAACATGTATTATATTAATATGGTAGCTGTTCAGCAGAAAGTGGAATGTGAGCACTGATATCAAAGGCACATATTCTCGGCTGTGATACAAAGCAGATGCGTGCACACTTTTTTTTTTTTTTTTTTTAGGAGGATGCACTTTAAGTATAGTGATTGCTCTCTTAAATTCTGTGAGCTGCTGTCATTTCAGTGTGTTTAAATGAAGGAAACAAGATGCTGGTATGGAATAAGGCTTGGATTTTGGTTGTATATGGTGCATATTCATATAAACTTTGAATTTAACCCTGCACAGTGAAAAAGTGAATCCAAGTGTTGCATAAAATCCGACACAAGTGTTGAAAGAATGCAGTAAATGGCCTTGACAAAGATGGCCGCTATGGTACAACAACTAAAAAAAAAAAAAAAGATCAACTCTTTTGGTTAATTTGGAATTTTCGTCTATATTCCAACAGAGCTGACTGCGTCTCGTTCATTATATATCACACCATACTTCAGTGAGATTTTTGGCCACGTGTGATAATGCTGTCTGCATTTTCCTTCTTTCACATCACGCTGTGTAAAACATATAAAACTAGCGACTTTGCCGTAGCTCAGCTGTAGGAAAGTATACTCATGTTCTGATTATTCAAATACTGCCTGAGAAGAAGAATCTCTGACATGTCACTCCCCATCCTTTCTGATGCCCATGCTCCAGAGCAGAGGCTGGTCTGTTGTCACGGTTACAGGCTTCCTGGGGTTTCCAGGGGCAACAGGTTCGTAGGTGTTGGAGGTGCTCACCAGCTTCCCAAACTGCAGGACCTGGTTATCTGGACAGAGAAGACATGCACATGATTAAATACAGCAGCAGTAATAATGGGTGCCTGCTGAGTGATGTCGCACTTAATGGCTACTTTAAATAGTCTGATTAAATTATTCAACGGGTAAAAGTAGATAATTGGTTTTCAGTGTGACTGGTTATAATAGTGCACGCTGCCTTCTGTACTTTGTTATTCGATCATTAATAATGCAGCAGCGTGTCGAGGCCTTGTTAAAGAGGACGAGGTCCCGAGCAGTCGTGTCCCCGCGTGACCCCAAAGCAGGGGTGGTCCATATGACTTTGCTTTATGTCTGAGCAAAGAAATTCGGGACTAGCGAAGCGGCCCGAGGCCAAGCAGTTCATTGCCAAAACCACACATTCACAAAGGCTATTATGCTGAGGCCACTGAGCATACACCCACTTTACGGTTACTGAAGTGCTAACAAGTCCTCTCAAAGAGAATCCTTCAGCTGCCACTAACAGGAAAGGTGACTACTGAGGTGTGTGAGTCACATAAGGTCTTTTGTTTGGCATTTAGCACTCAGCGTGTGAGGAAGAACTCCTCAAGGATACAGCCTTTATGACGGCGAGGTTTTGAATGAGAATTTCGATCCCGGTAGAATTTGTTGATGCACTTTTTAACCACATTATGAGCACAGAAATATTAAATATCCAGTCACTTTCAAGATCTGAAACCACATAAGCAGGTGGTAGGATACATGCTTTAATTTCACACACACATTTTTCCACGTGCTCTTTCTATCTGTCTCCAAAGAAACATAATCGGCACATTTTCAGTCTGACAAATTCAATAATTTACTTTCTATAAAGCTGAATTTGACTGTGTGAATGCTCCACAAGCTGAACTCAACCATTCAGACCTGAAAGGACAACTAGCCAACACTGACATCAAGTGGTCTAACCAGGAAACCAGGAAACTGCACTGAAGGGGCATCTACTACCAGTGTGATACAATCAACGGTCATGAGAGCTTTGACCCTGACCATTCTTTGTAACGTATAAGCTACTGGACATGAACTCTAAATAACGTCACACATTAATGGCTGTGACTCTGCAGTAAATATTAGACATGACCCGGTGTGTTGTGAAGAATGTAGTCATGCAAAATAATGCATCTTTAAGGAGAATAACAAAACCACTGACCATGCCTCAACAGGCCCCAAATGGCAGAAATAGAAATTTGCGTGTCACTTTTCCCATTAACAGTTACATTTATTCACGCAACATTTGCTCTGAGGAAGCTGAGCTGACAAACACCCTGAGAGTGGAGCTGTTGGATCGTGTCTAATGGGAAAAGGGCGAACTCACCTCCGGAGATATACACCTGGGGCTCTCTATTATTCATTCGTTATTATCTGTTGCTATGTTTTTACAATCTTGTGGTAAATTAAATAGTAAAACATTCCTACCCCACAGGTCAGAAAAATTTGGGTTTTATTGTGTTTGGGGATTTTCTTTTTTGGTAATACCTCACAGAGAACACTAAAAGGTTTTTTTTTTAGCTCTAATTCAAAGGTGGTGTTTTTGTTTTTTGTGTGTGGAAAGCTTTGACCTGTTTATGTCTCAGCCCCGCCATAAACCAAGACACACAATAGCTTTTTTATTTTTAGAGTCTGAAGCAGTCTATTACTCAGCTCTCTTACCTCTGGCTGCCATAAGCATTGACTCTACTTCTTTAGCCATCTTTATCTGGTGCTGTTAATGGTACAAACCACAACTATAGGTGGTCCAGATGCGGTTTTGTCTCTATCATCAACCATCTCTGCCCCATTAATAACTCTATTTTATTCCCATAAAAGGGACCAGCCTTGTTATCTGCTCTGGAGGAGTGATCTTAAAGGCCAATTTGTAACTTCTCACACATTCAAACAGCCTCACAGATAAAAGAGCATGCATTTACTGCCATGTTTGTTGCTGTACAGTCAAGATCAGCTAGGCAACATTATTCAGTAAAGTCACATCTATTATTAATGGTATGATTTATATGGATCCCCATTAGTCACTACCGAAGTAGCAGCTACTCTTCCTGGGGTCCACACAAGCAAACATTACATCATAGTGTGAAACAAATATATAAATAAAAACCCAAGGCAGAAAAAACAAAACATAATACAAGAGGAAATCTACAAAAAATTAATCAAAAAACAAAACAATAAAATAATAAAAATAAAATAAAAATATGACAATAATAATAATAATCTTATCCTCTATTTTAAATCAGCTGCACTTATTACATGTGTAATATCTGATGGCAAACCATTCCATAATTTCATTCCTCTGAACATTACAGTATATTGCATTTGTTTTTGAAACAAGAAGTGAAAAACAACCTCTTGCAGCATGCCTAGTATCAATTTTATGGTCATTACTGCTATAAAAAATGATAGTAAAGGATATTTAGGGTTTTAGACAATAAAATAAATCTAAAAAAAACAGAGCAGAGAAATAACCATCTATGGATATAATATTATATACTAAGAATATCAATGTTTTACAGTACAACATACTTAAAGGGACATTGTGTAACATTTTCAGTTGTTTACCTGCAAAAATTGATGTCTAAATAAATATGTCATCATCGGTGTACTATTACCTCCACCAACAATCTGACTTACTCTCGTAAAAGGAGAATTTCGGATTTGTTTATACATTGTGCGGGTAAGTCGTCTGGGAGGTTCCATAATGTTTCGCCATCTTAAGAATACACCCGCCAGCAAGGGACATACAGCCCCGCCTTCGGCCTTTTTGTTGAGAGCCAGGCCAGAGCTGCGTGACTGAGAAGTCAGAGGAGAGGAGCAAGAGGCGCTTCACTACTACCCTTGCAAATTTGAAACAAAGTCCCACTCTTTGAGCATAATGCAGGATCGTGCATATGCAGCATCATGGGAGACGGAATCCTCATCGCCAAGAAAGCACAAAAGGGAATCAAAAAGGCAACGCGACCGGCAAATAAAAAAAAACAGGGCGAACATCGGGGTAGCCTTTCCCAGGTGGAAAGAGCTGCTGTAGGAGAAAGGTAATAAAATCACAGGCCAGTGCCGCTGTCAGCGGCGCAGTGATGCGAGGAGAGAGATGAGGTGTGTGAGGTTGAGCCACTTGTCAGTTGTCAAAAGACAAGACGTGATTGGTTTGTTTCAATTTACATCCGCCCCAACAGTCCTACGTTGTAAACACAGCCAGCATGGAGAGGAGGGGGTTTGTCAACTCGCGTCGCGTGTGTCTGTGTAGGAGCCTGAATGAATACTCCATGGAGCATCGGATAAAATGGTTTCATCAATGTTATGATAGCTTTTTGGAACACAGTGGCTGCCATTGTTGCAATACCCGTTTGAAACAGTGAGGCACTAGAGTGCGCTATCAGTCTGAATGCAATATATGATTTCAGAAATTCCTACACAATGTGGCTTTAAAGGAAACTCTTCACCAGTAAACTGATCATTTGTATATCATGGGGTCACTGTGTGTTACCTTGAATGCATGGAGAGACCCTTGTTTTTCTTCTATACCTACATGGTGGATGGAGAATCCAAAAACGACTAACATAATTCATTAATTTAATTCATAGGTGACTTCGTTTAACAACAGCAAAACTCTATCAAAGCATCTGTTTACTAACTCTCGCACAACTAATGCAGCATAATCCAAGTCTCATCTATGCAGTCGTATGCTCGGTGCTTCCCAAGCTGAAGTATTTTCGCTAAAACGCAGGGATTCAAAACACGAACAAACAGTCTCACGCACGACACAAGCTCAGGCTTCGCTGCTTGTAGGTCTGAAGAGTTTTAAATTGTAATGTTTTAGTGAAAATGCAAGTGGTGTGAGAGTTAACAGATGTTTTGATGTAGTTTTGCTGTTGTTACATGCAGACCCCAATGACTTCAGTTCATCAAGAATGCTCACCTGTTTTGGATTCTCCACTCACCCCGGTGGAATGCGAGAAAAACATGATTTTCATCATTAATTCAAGGTAAAAGACAGAAAGTCACTGATACACAAATGATCATCTTCTGGGTGAAGTATTGCAGAACACTGGATGTCAAGGCAACA